GTAAATGTTTGAAAACCTGCCATTTGCATGGGCTTAGGAGAGATGTGTCAGGGGGAGTTCTGGGGCCATCTTCTCTGTACCACTGCTGGAGTCACAGCTGCCAGGGTGGCCCCATAGCTCTCTCTGGGAGCCAGTGCCACAGGGGATATTCTCTCCATCCTGGCTTCTCATTCCCTCCCCACACACCTGGCACTGATCTGGACACGTGGTAAACCAGATCCACTCATCCGGGTTTCAAAATTCCCCAAAAAAACAGGGTGGGGTAAAGGAGGAAAACACCCTGCATCAGAGCAGGAACATGATGCAGCTTATCACAGAGAGGCAGGAATAGCCTGAAAACCGAAAGAGGGAAAATTCCCTAAGTCAGAATTGGAACAAAGACAGAGTACCTGGAGCTGCAGGCCCAGCTCCTCCTGCCAGCCCTGCTCCAGCTGCCAGGACTCCAAAGGACTTTCATTTCAGTGGCTTCTCCTAGTTCTGCTGACTGGGGCAAGACTGGGAACCGAAACATGGAAGGAAATGATGACTGAAGTTTCACTGAGACTTTTTTTGGCACAACACCTATTTACACAACCCCTCATCATCAGCTTCCTACCAGCCCTTTAGTTGCATCAGTCCAACTCTGTGTGGTGGCCCTGTCAGAGAGAAGAAAAAACTTCTACTGGTGCTGGGTTACTTCTAACCAAGATTAGTTTCCCAGTATAGCTCCCACTGTGGCTGTAGAGCCATCTGTGCTGGCACAGGAGAGGAGGGGTAGGGAGCAAGAGGAGGAGAAAGGGCAGCAGCTTATTTAATCATGCGCTGCCCAAAAGAAACAATCACCAAACTATGTCTTTTGTACTGTTTAGTACAAAAAGTACCATTAAACAGAGAAATTTTTTTAAGCCAATGAAAAAGAGAAAGAAACCAGTACAGTGGGGAAGGAAATGAGTAAACTGGGATGAGGAATCATGTATGTCTGGAAGCAGACAAGTGAAAGAAAACAAAGCACATGATCTCCTCCCTTTTGGCAGGGACAAGCTATTTACATTGGCCCCACTGCCCCTGAAATCAGAGGCTGGGAGTGAGAGCAGGAGGAACTGGGGAATATGGTGAGAAAGGCCAGAGAAGGAGAAGGAGATTCAGAGAGGCCGAGCAAAGAGCAAAGAGATGGAAAGGGACATTATGGTGGCCGAGAAATTAAAGCTTGGAAAAAGAAGGTCTAGCCCAAGGTGGAGACAAGTCTGATGGCACTTCCTCTGCACAACTCAGGCTGGAACCAGGATCTCGAGCCTCTGTTGCTTCTCCATCAGCAAATACCACTTAATATCTTTAAGTCACTGAACACTGTAGTGATGAAGAGCCCATACAGAAATGTAGATCTCCATCTGCAACCCAAGGTTTGAATAATGCACAGTAAAGAGGCATATAATGCAGCTTATAACCTGAGAGAAAAATGATTGAGCAGATACTCGTTAGCAGCATTCATTAACAGCCAGTAGCGTTCATCTTCTGCATCACTGCCCAGGGCATTGTATCTGGGTTCATCTATGAATGAGTCCAGATCCGATGGACAAGGCCAGTGTAAAATGTATTTGGGGAGCAGGGCAGAATTGACAAGAGATTAAGCAACTGAATTAAGTTTGTACACATAATCCCATTTCTTGCATTTCTTAGAAAAGCACGTCCCAATCCATTAGAGTAAGCAGATTCAGAGCCATAGATTCAAAAAACACTTCATTTTTTGGCCAAGAAAAATATCTAGGCCAAACCTCCTCTCTCCATAACCCAGGTGAATGTTTGAAAAGTTGTCTATCATTTATTGTACAGCTCCAACCACTAGTCAGCAGTTCATTTAGTTACAAATATTTTAGCACAATATTGCTCAGGTTCAAGCCTTCCAGTCCAAAGTTGGCTACCTGCCTCCCTTCAAAAAAGCCATCTCCAAGAATTTTACCAGATGGAGATACTCAACCCAATCTTTTTTTTATTTTTTGTGTCCCAATAAGAATAATCTCTTTTTCAGAGGAGTTAGCTTAGCTTTTCACCCATAGTTCTCAGAGCAGGTTTAAGTAATAATAAGTAACATTACAAATGAGGAAGCCCATGTCCAGCTCGATGAATCACACCGCCTCCCTAAACCACACTGAAACTGGAGCTGCTGGGGAAGTGTTCTTGAAATTTCTGTAGGAGTAGTGATAAAAAGCAAACAGGGAGCATGGTTTTATCTGATCTACTCCTTCCAAAGTTGTGCAAGGTATCTACACTTCTGTAAACAAGTACTGCAACCTGCCTGAACTTTCATCAGCAGTATTACCTTGGGCAAAACCCGATACCAGTGCACATTCCTACTCCTGATGGGCAAGGATACAAATGGGAATTGGTACCTATGAAGAAAATGTACTTCTGGCATACTCCTGAAGTTAAGTCTTTCAGCAGGTATACCTGGAAATTAACCAAGTCATGCACCTACACACAGCCCTATTCCAAAAATATCTGAACTTCTTTCACCTTTGTTCTTTCTGTTATGGTGTCCGTTTAGCCTAAAGAAAGCAACTTTTCATATGCCAATTAGTCACCCACAAATAGTAGAGAAGATCACAGACTTTGTGCTACAAAACTGCAGGGATCTCTGTTTATGCCAACACGTTGTACTGCCAAGATGAAAACAGGTAAACCCTGGTCCAACAGAAAAAGGATCATCTCCAAAAGGAGCGGTTCATGTCTATTCAACACTGCCTGTGAGTGCCACAAAAGACTGGGAAACTCCATGCAAAAATTATACCTAGTCTTATATGTGAGTTATGTTCCACAGTAACCACGCCTGAAGTTTTAAGGACAGTGTGAATTTAAGCTTTCTGCCATGCAAAATGAATACACTCAGAAATGACATGACTTCTTTATGTACCTGCAGGGTATTTCTTGGAAATTACATAGCAACTTATGCCAGCAATGGGAACATTACTAATGTAACATCATGTTATCTCCTTATAACACTGTAAATGCCTCAGATCACCACCGTATTTGATATCATCACTGAGATAAATGTGTCATCCATGCATAATTGCAACAATAGAGGATGGATGTAGCAGCAAGGCAATTTGCATTCCTGCAAATGTAACAAAGTTCAAAAAGATAATAACGGACACAAAAAGAAACCCACACCAGCAAAAGGAATTTAAAGACATATTGAGATGAAGCATGTGTTTCTGTGTGGACAAATTAGGAGTGTGTGTCTGAATATGCAACTGTGTAAAAACCCTAAACTTCTCTCTAATCTACAAACACTCTCCAAGGACTGACTTCCAATCCAAATGGCGTTATTCCAAGATTACTGTACAAACAGTACTAACAGACTAAAATTGTGTTTTAGGCAGAACAAGTCTGACATGGAGGTACACCAGTTTTTACAACTGGTCTCTTGGCATCTCTCTGTAGACTGCAGTAGCTCTTTTGGCATTGCTTTCTGCCCATAACCATACTCTGGTGCAGAGAAGGAAGCAGCAGGTCCAGAACTAGCCAGGTACCAAAACATGTTCCTGCCTTCCCCCACCTTCACTGCCTGGCACACAGGTACATCTCAGTGCACTCTACACCCACAAGTCCTCACTCATATCATATCTAAAACTGTGTGTTTACTCTGTGATCTCTGCAACAGATTTGTTGGATTTAATTAACAGCAGCTCATCAGTAGTACAAAAGCTTGTCCTGAGTGCCTGAACTAAGCTCAGGTACCTTCAAAAGCCCTTAAATCCCACCAATATACACAATTTACTGACAAAAGTCAGGAAAACAAGTAACTGTGATAAATATGAAATGTAAAGAAGATGTATGAAGCACTGTATGAAGCAGTGAAATCCCTTGCTACCTAAAATGTAGACACAAAAAGGATTCTGAATTAGGAAAGAGGTAATGATTGAAAATAAAAATGAAACAAACACAGTGAAGTGTTCTGGGAAAGTACATTGGCATCCCAAAGCAAATACAAGCCCAAGTTCAATCAGAGTCACAGAAATGTTATGTTGCTTTATCAAGCATTATAAGCTGGTAAGTCTGTGAGGGGTGGAAGCTGCCTGCATGGAGAATTTCCATCTAGAGAAGATTTTCCCAGACTCAGGTTTCAAGCACAAGTTCAACATGAGTTTTCCATTAGTAAGATTAAACGTTTCTGTAGATGTTTCAGGAAGATATTAAAGTGTTTACAAAAAGAATGAAAATAACGAATGCAAACACAGAAAAAGTAAGTTTGTTTACAGATTTGTAGGAGTTGGGGAATTTTACATTAAGAAAGAGAGGTTATTTGGGGATTAAAACACACATAACACAAGTTTGATCTAAATGAACTTGTAACTTTTCAAGTATGAAGAATCCAGTATCTGAGACAGCATTATAAGATCAAAATAAAAATGTGAGAGAATAATAATGGAAAAGACTTTGCAATATTTATCCATGCCTACAAGAAACTCCTTTTATTTTAAGTCTAAGGTCTCAGCCCAGAGAGCTGTTCTACATGGGCAGGCTCCATATCAGCACTGTGATTCATCCATGCAATACTATTGGCAGGATCAAAGATTTCAGAAAATTCTTATGTCAGTCTTCAGGCATCACCTGAAAAGTCCCCTAACTTTCAGGCAGCACAAACTAAAGTTCTCAGAGTGAATCCTAAACCTGTGAACCCCGTGACTTTCAGTGGCAGCCTCCAGCAAGCCCTGTCTCCTTTATGAGCCTCCATGTTATGCTTGCTGAGACTGTGCTGAGGATGTCCATGAATCAGAGGAAGATGATTTATCTGGAGGGCTGAGTCTTCTTTCAGCTGGAGTAGTGCAGTCTTGCCCCTGCCCTGCTGGCATGTCACAGGGGTGGCACAGGGTAGAGAAAAATGGGTAAGAGAAAGGATCATCTCTCTACAATGTATGAAATCAAAGTGTAACATTTCACTCTTGCTATCAGAGTATTTCCTACTGGCCTCCAGGCTCCTGCTCCTGCTCAAAAACCCCACAATGCAGGAAGAAAATACTCACCTCCAGCAAGAGCTTCCTCTCTTGTACTGTCATCATCACCAGGCTGAAGAATATTCCAGGATGTCAAAGCAAGTGAAGAAATGTCTTCGGCTGATGATAACTTCAGCATGTCCATGTGATTGCTCTGAGGCTTGTAACGGGGGATGAAACACTCTTTGCCTTGCTTAAAAATGTCCTTAATTATTTCTTCTGTCTGGACTTCATCTGGCATGCTCAGGAAGATTGCAATTCTTTTGGATTCTTGGTACTTGGGATGGCCAATCACCTACGTGAGAAATTGATGCAATCAGTTTATAAAAAGTTTTTGAAAAGATCAACTTACTTTAATTTAACACAAAACTGGAGCAAAATATCAATTGAAAAGAGTAGAGATACAAAATTTGATGCATCATAAACGGAATAAACTGGCTTTATTTCCTACTCCAACATTTCTACCACTAACAAAATCAAAATAGGCAGATTTTTGCAGCTAGTGAACAAAACACTGTAATACAGGTTTGGGCCAGCAAAAAACAATTTTGGAGACAACCTCCTGATGCCCTAAATATCTGTGCCATATAGTACAGACATCCTCAAATGCCCAACATCACTGGAGAAAGATACAGTGGGTCAGAACTGCCAGCTTATGCAAGAAGAGAGGTTTTAGCATTCCTTTTCTTCCATCCTTTTTACATGCCCATCTCTCATCCAGGCCTAGGCAGAATAAGAAGCACATCAATGATAATAACTCAAAAGAAAATTAGCATCAGAGCAGATGACTGCAGAGCACAAAGTCTTCCAAGACCTGGCCCCTCTTTCTTTTGTTAACCTGAATGTCTTCCCTCCAGCAAGTTTAGATATATGACTTTAAACATCACCTGCTTCTAATGGGTGATCTTATTACTGCACATTTTTCAGAGCTTGAAGGAAAGATGGCCTTGCCATTTTTTGCTTTTCATGAGATTGTGCTGGGCTTATAAAAGACTGAATAGAGGAGGGAAAATAAAAAACGCTTATATGGTGAAAAAGTGTTAGCAGACTCATACCTCACTATGTCTCTGCCCATTCCAGACTGAATTCCACATTAAAATTTGAAAAGAGGCTTTTAAAAGCCTGTCTTCTTGTTCTTTAGTATCTTATATATTTTGTTACTTACATTTGGACAAAACAAATACAAATGTGTCCTTTCTCATTTAAATGTGATTTATTATTATTCTACACACTTACAAAAATCTGTCAAAAACATCAGACAACTGAGAAACTCTCTAGCATCTACAGAACAGAGAGCAGCAAATCCTGTGCTCTGCGCTTGCATAACTCCAGGGTAACTTGATCTGAGCTTTAGCCTTTGCCCTGGCCTTGTTCTGAGATATAAATGCCCGTATCAGAGTCAAGACATGGTTCTCACTACTTTTTTTTCTTTCTTTCTTTCCAGTAGAGCACTTAAAAGCCCAGGTGAATCAGTCAGAAGATAAATATAATTTTTCAAGGGGAAAAAAAAAAGAAACACTTCAGACCAAATTACAGTGATGTGTTGTTCCTTGGTCATAGAAACATTTTAACAATTCAAACCCATATTTTACTTCTTTTTGTATCTGCCCAGCCCAACACATGGATTTTTCCAACCAAAGGATTAAGCTCTTAAAGAACAGAATTTCCATGGCAGCTTTTGTTTGAAAAACTGGACTATTAAGTGAAACTTCAGACTCCAGCAAATGGCTGTGATTCACACTGTTGACACTGTTGAGGGCCTCCAGAGCTGAAACTTCTCATGGGTTTGGTGAAGAGAGAAACTGAGACCCCGAACTCTCTTTCAGAGGGGGGCTGCGTGCTGTTGGGCACAACACAGGTCCCATCTGCTCTGACATATCCAGTAACACATTGATTAGGCTGTGTATAGGAAAAAAAATGAGGTTGAAGATGTAAACCCACATGTGAGCAGGAAGACAGAATTTCAGATGTTCTCAGAACTGTGAATATGCTCCTACGATGACTCGGAGCAGTTTCTGAGAAGAGTGAAAAAATTTCCACACTTCACAAGTAGTACTGCCCTTTGTTCACTAGCTGATGGAAATTTTTGAAGAATCAGAGTATGCAAACAGCACGACTTTAATCATGAACATAAACATTAAAAAAGAATCATAATCCAGGAGCTAATTAAATACTGGTGACTTGGTCTGCCTGTGAAGCTATTTCATTTGGAATATAAGGACTATTTTGAAATGAGATTTTACTACTAAAAATATTACTCAGGTGTTATAAAATAACCTGCTCACTTTTATTAGCTGCAAGCACTGATATACGTTACAAAGCTACATTTTTGGCCTTAGATCATTCCAGATATTTTCTCAGCCTTCTCAAAAACTCCTCCATGCCTGATCTATTACCCTCCTGTAAGGAAGCTGACTCTACTGTCTGCCCCTTGCACAATGCCACTGTCTCATGCAAGCTCAGGATTTTCAATTTGTGTCAGATTATTAAAACGGCAGGATAACATCAATTTATGTCCTACTTCCTGACGGCTTCTTTTAAGCAAAACAAAAGCTGTATCTTCCAGTGTCCTCTCACTAACAGAAATGAGTGCTCTGTTGCTGTATTTATCAGCAGCAGTTAGACAAAGGCTGAGGGCTCCTAAAAATTCAGTACTACATGGGATAGGTGCTTACAAAGTTGGCTGAGGACTCTGCATTTCTCAAGAGGATGCCAACATTTGCTAAAATTTGAGAGATTTAAGTCTAGGATGCATGACTACTAAAATGCATTACCATGACCGTAGGACGTGTCATATATACATATTTATAAAAAGTATTCTCCATGAAAAAAAAAGGTTATGTGAGTTCCAGTTAAACTTCCTACAACCTAAAGTTTCTGTGCTGCCACATCCCACTCACGAAGTGGCTACACATTAGTAGTAAATGAAGTCTATAAAATGATTTGAGATCCTGTGGCAGGAAAATAACCATATAAATGTAGATCATCCAGAAGTACCCGCTGGTGCTGCAAAAAAAATGAGGACTGTGCTCTATTACATGCAGTGACTGCAAAATAAAATTTTATCGTGTTTATTAAAATGATAAAATACATCTCTATAAAAACTGTGTAATCCAAACACAAACAGGACATTTCAAAAGTACATACCCACATCACGCTGTGGTAGGATACCAGTTAGGCAAACCCAGCTTGATATCTTTTAAAGTATAAAAATTATATTAGAAATAAAATTGCATGGAAGAAACACTGCTGTAAGATACAGAAGGGAGATGACAGCGCATAAAACAAGAGGCCAAATCAGGCAGTCGCTGAGTTTTTTTGGTATGTACGGCCAGAGCCGGCCATGCAGCCACGAGAAGTGATGTGAAACGTCTGAGATAAACACCCACCACCACCCCCGAGGTGCCCCACTTGGGGTGCGTGGCAGGCTGCCCCCAGCGCCCCCAACACCCACGGGTCATGTGTCCCCACCACCCCGTGGGTGAAGTGTCCCGCCCACCGCACACGTGATGAGCCCCACAATCCCGTGGGTGATGAGCCCCACAATCCCGTGGGTGATGTGTCCCCACCACCCCACAGGTGATGTGCCCTACAATCCCGTGGGTGATGTGTCCCCACCACCCCACAGGTGATGAGCCCCACAATCCCGTGGGTGATGTGTCCCCACCACCCCACACGTGATGTGCCCCACAATCCCGTGGGTGATGTGCCCCACAATCCCGTGGGTGATGTGCCCCACAATCCCGTGGGAGAAACGTCCCCAGCACTCCACGCCTTATGTGTCCCCACATCCCCCCGAGCCCGGTGACCGGGCGCTGCTCCCGGCAGTCCCTGACACAGCGGCGCCACCAGCCCCGGTCCCCGGCAGTGCCGAGGAGGGACGAGGGGCAGGCTCCGAGGCGGAGCTCACCCCCCGCTCGGCGGCAGGGCCCGAGGAGCCGGCGGGCGCCCTGAGTCACGGTTTCGGTCTGCAGGAGAGGCCTGGAAAGTCCCGGCCGCGCTGCCCGCGCCGTGCCGGGCGCTGCTCTCGGGGCCGCGTCCGCACCCACCTTGAGCCCGAGCAGGCGGGACTGGCGCTGCTTCTCGGCGGGGCCGAGCGCCCGCAGGCGCTGCCGCAGCTCCCCCCGCAGCGCCCGCTTGGCCGCCCGCAGCGCCGCCGCCATCGCGTCCCCCGCCGGCTCCTCCATGCGCCGAGTGCGCCGGGCGGGCCCCGCGGCCGCTGCTCGGGGCCCGGGGAGGGCAATGGCCCCGCGGCCCCACCGTGCTGGAGGGCCCTGCCAACAACAGCCTCTTTTTCTTTTTTTTTTCTTTTCTTTTCTTTTTTTTTTTTTTTTTTTTTTTTTTTTTTTTTAAAGCCTGGCGGTTATCGCGAAGGATTTCCCCTTCGCTGATTTTGTTGCAGGAAGGGAAATTACGTTTCGGCGGGATATTTTACCACCGTTTGACAGGCAGTTTCATATCCCTACAGGCATCTGCCAGCGGGCTCCGAGGGAGGGGTGCGGAGGAGGGAGAGCCCTGTGCCCCCAGGGGAGGTGTGCCAGCCATGCAGCTGTGTCCAAAGGGAAGCACTGTAGGCCAGTGTTTGGCACACGGAGTGTTCCAACCATGTGTTCCAACTTCGCAGGGTGGCGGAGTCACCGTCCCTGGAAGTGTTCAAGAAGCAACATATGTCTAGTTGACAGTGTCTAATATCTAGTGTCTATGATCTTGTGTCTAGTGCCATGGTCTAGTTGACAAGCTGGTGATCGGTCAAAGGCTGGACTCAAAAATCTCAGAGATATTTTCCAACCTAATTGGTTCTGTGATTCTGTGATTTTAGGCGCAGGAAGCTACATTTCCACAGGAGAAGATCTCTTTTCATAAATCTCTTCCACATGGCATTTGATGACATCTCAATTTAGCCACAGTGTAGATGGATGAAGTCATCAGCTGTCCCACTGTGCAGCTCTCTGACCTCACCTTTTGCTCTAGATGCAGCACTGTGTTCTCCCATGTATTGCCTGACAGCTGTAAGGATCCCTTAAACAGTGGTGCCCTGGGACCTGGGCACTGCTCAGTGTCACGTATAGATAACTTCATGACAGTTAACAAAGTATATCTACATGATTTTGTAAGACTTAACTAGTAGCTTTGCTGTTTTCAGACATATTATTATGTTTAGAATCAGTGTGGTGCATCTCATCTCTGCTTTTCTTGCTCTTAAATGAAGAGCAAGGAAGGTTTTTTCCTGGTGAAGATAACCTGGAGCCCACTGGACTGCTAATGACCCAGGCTTTTTTTGTTTAAACCCAGGCCTTGCCATCAAGACAAGTTGTAAAATAATTGTATCATCTGGATTTTGAAAAGGCATGGTTGGCCCTTTATATTGAAATAAAGAACTGTACTCCTGAGTATGAAATAGGTTACTAGATCAGTGTAAAAGGAAGTGGGTGGGGTATTAATAGACTGGTGTTAGCCACTATAATCTGCATTTGCAATAGTGCACAAAAAGAAACTGAGTAAGAATTTCTGTTCTTATCATGAAGGCTTAGACAGCAAATAAATAAATATATGTCATAACATGCTCTGAAATGCTTGTTCTAACAAACATTAACATGTGCTTGTGTTCTGTGGTTAAACCCACCAGGTTGGACCACAGAGTCACAGAACAGCCTAGACTGGAAGGGACCTTGAAAGATTGTCTGGTCCAACCTTTCCTGGGAAAGGGAGCCTAGATGAAACTGTCTAGGGCTCTGTTCAGTTATATCTTGAAAACTGCCAGTGATGGGGACGCTACCACATCCCTGGGGAGGTTGTTCCAGTAAATGATTCTTCTTACTGCAAAAAATGCCTTACGTTGAGATGAAAGATGCAAAATTCATTGCTGGAAGAATGAAAGATGGAGAGCCCTTCACCAGAAGGAGGCTGCTTCATTCTCTCAGTGTCATAAAGCCCGGATTTTCTAGAGGATTTGTGTCAGAGAATAGTGCTGCTGTGTGCCACAGGCAACTGATGGCTCAGTTTGATTCACCTCCCAACATGTCTACAAAAGAAGGGTGTTTAGACCCAGCCTTAGTACCCTAGTCTGGGAGAGTCACTACAGCCGAAGTAAACCCTTCTAGAATGAATTCTTGAAGAACTACTGTTTCGTCTTTGAAAGCAAGTGGACTTGGAGTCAAAACAGTAATTGCCCCAGTCTGTAAAAGCCAGGAAGTCTCTTACATACTACTTTGAATTTGTGGAGTTTTGCAACATAAAACACTAATTACTGTCATCAGAGCTGATCCAATTCATTTATTTTGCCATGAGATGTCTGTTTCTTATACAAGCTACCAGAAGTACTGCAGAAAATTAAAGTCTTGACATCCATGAATGTCAGGTCAAACCCACATACTATGGGATTTTCCAGTAGCATTGTGATAGCTTTTCTAAGAGTTATCTTACTCGGGTAAAAAATGAGACCAATCCTAAGGCTTTAAAATGCATATTTTAATATATTTTTAAAAAATATTAGTGTATTTACATAATTTTCTCACTTTAAAAATATTTTATACTTGCATATTTTTAAAAAAAGTTCAGCAAGATGATTACATCACACAGATATGAAAGAACATTCACTGTAGCTATGGGCAATTAAAAAATACAGCACAGAAACACATACCATTGCAGTAACAGTAAGTGAGTGCACATTTTTAAGTTGCTAGCTTCCACAAATAGTTCTTCCCGTAGAAATTGCTTAGTCTGTGTCAGTAACTTCTAACCGCTTTTATATTGGAATTTGCATTCCTTTTTTTCTTCATAAAAATCTCCCCCTTTGGCTTATACAAGGATTGCAATAAAATGCATTACAGTAGTATTTCATTTACAAAACAAATGACATAAAAACTCGTTTCTTAACCCATTGGATTGTATTTCGCTAAAACAATGTCCTTTCATGGAGATTCAAGAGAGATTCCAAGAGCTGTCTGGATGTGGAAAATTATCTCAATCCTGCCTGGAAAGGTAGACTTGAATTGCTGCATGATGTTGTGTGGATTCCTCTTAGGAGGGATCTCATTTTCAGGTTTGGTAATTAGGATAGCATGTTAAACATTGTATTTAGTCAAAATAAATACAAATAAATTAAAAACAAATCATGGAAGGAAATTATTTTCTTGTTGACATGTCTTGGAGGAAGGCTGAGAAGTGAAGGTTGTGGCAATACCTAGATTACACATAAATGGCAGGTCCTTTTACTTCAGTAGTACTCTCTGAGCAAGGAGAAAACAGCTATGAACAGGGCTGTAATTTTGGAGAAAGATAGTAGTGATCTTCTTTCAAACTTTGTTAGGAAGCCATTTTCCTGTGGAAAAGAAAAAGCAGTTAGGGACAGCTTAAAAACATGTAGGAAAACCGCACCACCCTGTGCTAGTGTCAGATTAACAGGGTGCTACAGCATTATGAGTAGAGGGACAGCTTTTGAGAGCTCTACCTCCAAAAGATGAATAAGGCTTTAAAAACTATAGCTGAAAATAGCTGCACCTCACTAAATGTTTGTTTTATCTCTAAGTCAAGACTGTGCCCTCCCTGTGTAAATAGAAAACTGACATGAACTCTATCACCTGAGCCCACATCTTCCAGGGAGATACAAGTACTATGTTTCTGATGTAGTAATATACTTAGAAATATCTTCCTTTAAGCCTCCTTATTCTACTATGATGAGCCACCTATTATGACAGAATGTTGCCAGAAGTTGATACTTCTCTTGAATAAAATTGACTTTATTTGAAAGAGATGGAAAGAGAAGCCTGCACAATAAATCTGGTGCACCAAGGGACCCTGAGCCACTATCACTTCTTTTTTACAGCTACAGACAGAGAAGGATTAAAACAAGCAGAAAAACAAAAGGAAAAGCAAGACACTAGAAAATAAATCCGGGGGAAAAATTAATAGCAAATAGGAGATATGAGAGAAGTGGGATGAGAGGAGGTGGAAAGAGAAAGTGACATTTACATATAAGTAAAGGAAAAAAGTACCAAGGAAATAACTGACACTTGTGTCATAGATTCTCAGATTCCCCTAACTGCAAAAGAAAAAAGTATTGGTCTGATGAAACTCTGCAAAAGCAAAAGGGCTCTTCCCTCCACTGGCAGAAGGTAATTTCAGCAGCTGGGCAAAATAATCCACTTATTGACAAGTGTTTTTCTCAGCATTGACCATTGATAAATGGAAGTCCTAGGATTATTTCACTCCAAACAATAAAGATTTAACCCCAATTGTACTTAACTGGACCTTGGTTCTAAGTAAAACTGATTTGGGGGATTAAATAATGGCTTTGTTGAAATCCACAGCAAAAGTACTGACTTGATTTGTGAGGAACACACCTGTTCACTCTTCCCTTTAACTGAACCCCAGTATTTTCGGACCGACTCCTCTATTGCCATACTGACCTTAGGATACCACTTAATTTTAGATTTAATAATGGAAATTTCATAGTTTCCCTAGTTTAACATGCTTTGAGCAGAAGGCTGGACCAAATGATTTTCTAAGGTCCCTCTCAGCTTGAATTATGGTATGATCCTATGATGAAAGATCAGAAAGTGCCTTTTAAAGAGCAAGTTTTCTTTTAGCTTTGTTCTGTTTAAAGCAGAAGTGAAGCTCTCACTGTAAGTCTCAATGAGACATTCCAGACATAAAACGTTAAACTACCAAATGAAACCCTGAATAAAATGTTTCTGACAGTGGCTATAAAAATATTTTCCCTTAATTAAATGCAATCTCCTAATCAAGACTTTGGTGGAAAGTGAGAAACTCACCCAGCCACCGTTCGCATCTATCCATTCGGCTTTGTGGTTTATGATGTACTCTGTGATGAAATAGGAGATCTGCTCCTTCTCCTCTGCAGTCAGCTGAACTCCATGCTCCTGAAGCTTCTTAGTGAGAAGACCTCCAAATGTGAATATGGTCATAATTCGTCCCCAGTTAGTATTTCCATCAGCAAACTTTTCTTCCATGACACCATTGAAAATTCTCTTGGCAACAGCTACAGAGGTGATATCAATCCTGTCCAAGAGTGGTCTGAGAGCCTCCTCGGTTTGATCTTGCAGAGAAGATGCAATGCTTCGCAAGACATGAGCAACCCTGGTTTGGGCTGGTCCGAGGTGTGATTCCTGGAGCACATATTGCAGATAATCTTGGGCTAAGTAATAAACGTAATAGAACTCAGCAGTTTCCATTCAATGGGAAATGCAGAGAGCAGTGCACAGCTCTTAATCAGGGTTGGTAATGAGCAGCCACAGGACATGCAGACGACTTTTTATCGTCTGCTTTTGATGGAATCTTTCTGCTTTTACCACAGAATTTCCTGTAAGAGGTATGACTTAATGGTGTGGGTTGGGGAATATGTCACAGAGGAAATGAAAGAAAAAGTTGTCTGCTCAAAGGGCATAAAATATGTCTTCTTGAGTGATTTACTATTTCTTTAAATAGTGTGATTCCACAACTAAAATCTACCAGATTTTACCAGATTCTTTAGTAGTATAAATTGGCATTTCTTAGGGACTTTTGCTATGTACCACTAGCAGAGGTTAGGAGTTTGGCTTTTAAAAAATGCCTAAAAAGTGCATGCTGTTGGACTATGCAGCCCCCCTTCCAGCACCCCCATCTTCCCCCACTCTAATGTCCTCTCTGCTAGGGTTAAGGCTGCAATCTGTATTGCAGGTTTGTGGGTTATTTCTGGTCACAACTTTTTGAAGAAACTGATAGATAGACATTTCCAACAGGATTGAAGAATGGATAAACTTTCTTCATCACTCAAGGTGTTTTACATAACTGCAAAAAGTGGGAGTACAACAGTGGTACAGGGTTGGATGGACAAAGGGAAAAGCCAGCTTTATAGCATTATCCTCTATTCCAGACTTTCCCACACTCTCTCTGTGAGTGCTCTTCAAGGTCCTTCTTTGAAGATTTGAATGGGTAGCTTCAAAGATTTCTTTCCCCCATGGGGAGTTCTGCTGTAAAAGACATTATTAGTATAAAAGACAATGCTAATGCAGTCAGCATGTTGGAATATGGGATGGAAAACATAGGGCCAAGCCAGTGATGTGTGAATCCACCTGAATCTTTCAGGACAGGTAACAAAGAGGTATCATGATATCTACAGTTGTTCTTAGATTCAAATTTTCTGTCAAGCCATTATTTTTAGGAGAAGAGGCAGGGGTATCTAGCCAGCTTTTTCCTTACAAACCTTTCTGCTGAGGCAGCCTGATCTTGCTAAAGGGTCAGTACGTGTCTGTAGAGAACCCCACCCCATTGCAAAGGCTTCAGAGCAGCAAACAGTTTGAAGTTTGATGTCTGGAGACCCCTCTCTTTTTCCATCCCCTTTTGTTTATCCCTCTACTTCTTCCCCACCTCTCATTCACTCCTCTTCCTTCTCTGAAAGCAAAAGGTACTTCCAGCCCCCCACACAAACAGCTTTACTTTGCCCCAGGAGTGGCTGTGAGCCTGTTTCTAGTCTGGGCACTCCCTAATGCTCAGATCTGTGGAAGAGGAGCAAAGCCACATGCCTGGTGGCCACCTCAGGGCTCCAGTCTCAGCTGTCAGGGTATCACTGGCACCAAATTACACTGGGGCAAAGTATGTCTGGACTGTGATACAGCTCTGGTGTCAATACCTTGCTAATCCTAGATAGCCCCACAAAATGCGTGTGCTGCTCCTCTGACATCAGTTTTTGCAGAAACCCATTGGGTAGACCAGAGTAGTTTCCGTTTCCTCATCAGGTTTTTTCTTCTATATGTGGTGAGTCTGGCCGAGAATGACACAGTACAGTCTTCCATGCACAGTGGGGTTTGAAACCTCAAGCTGTCGCCAACACAGCACAGCATCAATCACTTCAGTGATGCAGGAAAATAGTTCCCTTACTTTCTGCTGGAGGCAAAGAAAGAGAAGGCTTGGTTCAGTGTTCACTTTTGGAAGGGAGTGGTTTTAGGAGGGCAGTGCGAGCTGGAAAACTCTCACGTTAGATATTGCCTCCAGGGAAGGATGTGATGCCAGGACTGGGAACGGGCTGGGAATGGAAAGCTTGATCTCCACTCTTTCAAGCATGCACGTTCTTACCAAAGCTCATTTTGAAAGTTCAGAGGTGTCCTCTATCCAATACCTGCAGCTGCTGCTTTGGCAGAGCTGTTAGGCTGACTTTGCCTTTGTTATGTTCAGTGATTTCAGCAAACTGCCAGCATTTTATGAGGAAAGCAAACAAATAAACAAAAAAAAGATGTGACAGTCCCTAACTCTTCCCAGCTGGGCAGGAATTTCTGGGGCACTGCTCTACACAGCCAGTTTCCCTCATCAGATAGTTGCAAACAGGGCTGAGAGAGGTACTCAAGCAGATGTGACAAGAATCTTTCTATACAGCACAGTTTGTGAAGTTACAGATCACTCCTGACTTTCTTAGTAATTGATTAATGAAAAGCTTTTTGTACCCTTTGAGAATATAAGTAATAATTGAATATGAGAACAGTGAACAATACTTAAGGAGACCAGTTTTGTTTTCTTCACTGTCAACAGTGGCAGAGCACAGGCAGAAGCAGGTATTTCTTCATTAGTGGAGCATTTAGAATTCTGAGGAGGTGATGAAATAAGACTATGAATATGTCACCATTATTGAAAGAAATCAGTGTTGATACCTTGGCAATTTTGGTGCAAATGCTGCTAGAGTCTCTTGATCTCTTAAAGCACTGTGAGGTGAAGCTCAGGGCTCAGCTCCCAGAAGAGGGTGGCAGTTCTAAACAGACATCTCTAACAGCAAGCTGTGACACTGGTGACTAGAGCTCAGGATGGAGCTGTTGAAAATGCCCCAGGTCTCTCTCCTTCAGTGTTAGACACATTTCCTTTTCAATAGCATACACCAGAGGGTGCAGTTCCAAGTGTTGGATGTTCAGTAGCAGTGACAGTTTATATATTTATACACACAAAAAGTCAGACCAGAGTGTGCAGCCCCATATCCCCAAGCAATAATGGTCAACTCTGAACACTCTAAGAAATCAGCTTTGGGATCTCTTGCCTGTATCATGCCACTTGAGTGCTCTGATTCTCATTTTCTACATTAGGCAGTGCCTTCCTTTCTTCTACCAGACTTTACTCATATTTTGTAGATGTAAGAGAATACCTCTAATTTAATGAAACTCTACTTTTCTTCCTACCTGCTCTGTCTCCCCGGTGCTGCATAGACTGCATTCTCAGACACTGCACTGCTCCTCTTTGCTGAATATACTTTAAGTGTTAAGTGTTAATAAAAGGCTTGAAATAGAAACCAGGTTGACATGGAAGCTCAAATGCAAACCCTCCCCTCACTACTTGGCAATAGGAAGGGGCTTTAATTTAAATCTATGCTCTGTGGATTTGACTATACATCCTATCCTAACCTGAAAAAGGCTTATTTTTCCAGAACAGATGGGGACTGAGTTGACAGATCCTCATAAAATTGACTTGTGAGAGACGATGTTATCGCATTCGAGACAAAACCAAGCCAAATGACAAAAGCTTTGTTGAGCTATTCATGCTGCATCTGCCTTGCCAGAGTTGTTCCAGTTCCAGGTGATTGTGGGAACTGTGATCTTTGTCTGGAGGAACAGTCTGAGGCCCTGAGAAAATTATTGCAGGGGGTTTTTTCTGCTTTTCTTCCCTTTTTGATGTCCAAATGGGGGCGATTTATTTTTTGTGCGGTATTGGATTTCATTGCAGAAGAACGGCTTTCACGTGTAGCTTTCCAGCTGTCCTGCACAACCCTGATATGAGACTTCGTGAGGCTTTGGTGGCTTTTATTTCCCGTGTATTTTGCTGTGAACGGGACTAAGCTGGCAGCCTGAGCCCCGGGCTCGCTGGTGCTCGCAGAGGCGCGGTAGCCCAGTGGAGTGCTGACATCTAGTCGCAGCCGGCCGCGCTGCAGCAGGGAGGGAGCGGCGCATCCCTGGAGCTCCCCAACACCTTCCATCCTGTGCTCCGGGGTTCTGTGTGCAGCAACGAGCTGAAGTACGGTAATATTGGGACTCAGCTCTGTTAATGATCTAAATTAATAAATGATACTGTGTTTCCAGGAGAAAGCCAGCCGTGTCCTGGGCTGCATCCAAAGCAGTGTGGGCAGCAGATGGAGGCAGGGGATTCTCCCCCTCTGCTCCGCTCTGGTGAGACCCCACGTGCAGTGCTGCATCCAGCCCTGGCATCCCCAGCACAGGAAGGGCATCGACCTTTTGGAGCAAGTCCAGAGGAGGCCACCAAGTTGATTAAATAGATGGAGCACGTCTCTTATGAGGAAAGGCTGAGAGAATTTGGATTGCTCAGCCTGGAAAAGAGAAGGCTTTGGGGTGACCTAATTGCAGCTTTCCAGTGCCTGAAGGGAGCCGACAAGAAAGATGAAGCGGTACTATTTACAAGGACCTGGAGTGACAGGACAAGGGAGAATGGCTTCAAATTGAATGAGGGTAGGTTTAGATTAGATATGAGGAAAAAATTCTTCCCTGTGAGGGTGGTGAGGCACTGGAATGGGTTGCCCAGAGAAACTGTGGATGCCCCATCCCTGGCAGTGTTCCAGGCCAGATTAAGATGCTCTGAGCAACCTGGTCTAGTGGAAGATGTCCCTGCCAATGGCAGGAGGGTTGAAACTGGATGATCTTTAAGGTTCCTTCCAACCCAGGCCATTCTGATTGTGAGTCTATGAATTCTGTCAGCTGGGAAGCACCAAAGCTTCCTGTCCAAAGTTTGGGAGCAGTTCATTTTAAAACCCTTCAGACCTTCTCCTAATGTTTCTAGGATAGAAACAAAGTATCAAGATCCTGGATCTCAAATTCTGTGCCAATTGAAACAGAGACTTTGACCCAGCTTACATTCTGTGTGTCAGAGATGCACTGAAGACAAGCTCCAGGAAGAATGGGAGGATGCAGCTGGTTTTTCATCTGCTGAGCCAACTGAGACATTCTGGGATAATTGGAAAGCCAAAGTGGTCCCCAACATACACTACAGCAAGTTGCTACTCCAGCTTACTGTTGAACTGTGGTGCTGTCGAATAACTGAAGGCTGAGTATTATGACATAAGGTCTGTCTGCTCCCAAAATGCCCCACAGCAAAGGCTGGGAGGATGGATCAACAGAGATGCACACTGTGGTTCTCCATTGCTCAAGCATGAGAATTCCCCTTGTGACTCCTCTGTAGCACTCCAGAGACATGAGGGGACTGTAGGAATGGCCAGGTTTTGCTGTGTTACTCAGGGCTCAGCTGCTGCCTCGCCACTTCCGCTGGTAACTGATTCCAAGTCAGAACCTGTTTTCTTCTGGATCCCAGGTTCTGTCATCATTATGAGTCAAGGAGGCAGCCAAATACTCTGCTCCACTATGTACGTGTCATCATGTGCATATGTGCAGACACATGTTCTGCATTCTCATAAGCCTTTCCAAATGTTTATCTGGAATTAGGAGAATTTGAACAAATAGTCATAGTTGTCAGCAGTGAGCCACAGAAACATAAGGGTCCCTAAGCTTCCCAAACAATGGAGCATGAACAACTAAAGTCTTGGTAGAAGCTTAGCAAGATCTTGCAGATGCCAGCAGAAACACTGAAGTCAGCTTCCTGGCTGAAAGTACTTGCTCCCAGAAGGAGGGAAAAAAATATGCTTGTGAGTATTCATGAAATAAGAAGTCAAGAACTTGTGCCTCAAGATGATAACTAAAACTTTGTGTGTCCCTTGAACCCACAAGTCAAGGGTGGTCTGGAGTTTTGCTTCATCCTCCTATAGCAGGTGCAACATGAACACTTGCACGGTCCATTTGTGATTGATCTGCAGCTTTGTTTCAGAGCTGTGTCTTCCAAAGACATAATGCTGCCAGGAGAGACAGGCATTCAACATTGGTGATACATTGGTATCACGTTGGTGATACTCAAAATGCCGTGAGACAGCATTTTAGTGACATATCTGAGCCTTACTTAGCATACAGAGAGTCCCACTGGATGACAGTTCCAAAATATGAGCAAGATTTAGGTAAAGAGTTTCCACTGAGCATGGATAAAATATAGGTGCCCAGTTCCTTTTGGTGCCTTCTGGGGAAAAAAAAAAAAAAGTAGCTATTCATTAAAACTACTAACAGTTTAAAGTTAGGCATGCTTTTAAATTCTTTGCTATTCGATTTTCCAATAGAAATTTATGTATCTCATGTTTTTGAAATAAATCACTAAAATTCAAGCTCACTTTACCAGCTACAAGTTACCTGGGTGCCTTGGAGCTTTCCTGTCCTCTACATCAGCCCTCCCAGGAGTGTGCTTGCTTCTGTGCTTTTCCCTTTTAAATCAGCTCTGCACCTGCTCATGTACTTTTCCCTTATTTAAGTCAAAGCTGCATCTGCTCCTGGTACTACTAGTAACCTTTGCCCTGGGTCAAGTGTTAGTGATTCATAGATTAAACATCTTTCCTTTAGAAGATAATGTATTCTTTTAATAAATCATTTCATCCCCCCCCCCCTTTTTCCATATCCCCTCTGTTGATGACCCTGTGAAAGAAGTTTGTAGAAACACTAGTATTTCTACTATAAATCTCTCTTCATGGAGGTTCATAACTCATCTTTGTTTTACATGCAGAGTTCCAGTCTGGGGGCACATTTGTTTTTATTCCCCTTTCAAATTGTTTTGAATTATTTTAAGTTATAAAATGGACAAAAATACAAATGCACAGTGTATAGATGTTTTCCTCTTCTATAATCAATCCAGATCTTTGAATAGAAATTATGATTAAAGAAGTGAATGTGTAATGTTATTTCAGTAATTTTCGTATGCACAAAATAAATATTGATATTAAAACATATTTCTGAACCCTAATTCAATAGTTTTACTACAGTTTTATTACCTTCTCAAATGTGTGTTTGCATGAAAATGTTGTGGTGCTAGTGCCTACTGTTTGAAGCTTCTTTTTTTTTTTTAATAATTAAAAAAAGCCCTTCATGTAAAAGAAAGAGAAATACAGTGACTACATTGCTGTCTGGTAGGACTTTTCTGAAGTCTAAAAGCAGTTGGTATGAAGCTCCTTCCATCCACCTATAGCCTAAGAAACTGGGTTCCATATGGTAAAATAAAATCTCCTGCATTATTCAACTGCAAGGAAGAACTTGTGAACCTAATATCCCAAACGACCCTTCTGGAGGTTTCTTCAGCCCTAACTGCATTTCTCATTCTCTCGATTTGCACCATTTCAGCAGACACTCGGCTGTTGGCACTGTGCAGTCTTTTCAAATGATTATGTGTAAATTGCTGCAAATTATAGCAAGAAATTAGCTGTAACTCCCATGGTATATCCTTGTGTTTATTATGATTTTCTAATCCTCAGAAAAAGCATGCTGAGATGGCATTTCTGTGCTCCTAGGAGAAGGCTGTGAGCAGAAATAGCAAACTAATCTGTCTCCCCAGGTATTATAGCGCATTCATCGCTGTGCTGTCTGAGCATGTAATACTGTCCCCTCAATCTTTTTAAGTGAAATGATGTCCTGTTAACTAAGTGTGAAGGAAGCTGATGCTACCATGACTAGTTATCCAAACCTGCTGCCAATCTTTAACCAAAGCAAAAAGAAATTTGCTTTTGAGCTCATTTTTTAATGACGGACCTTTGCAGTGCTCCGTGCTTTCAATTGCGTTTGTCCATCTTCATTGCCATGGCTGGGTACAGAGCCCAGGTTCATCGAGGGAATTAAGCCTGTAGGCATCTTAGTAATGATGCTGATACCAGGGCCTGCTCAGGCCCTAAAATGCTCTTTCAGAAAGCCCAATTCTTTTAGACTCTTTCAAATAACCTCAATGCAAAGCTTTTACTTATTTGGGCAGGCTGTTGTAGGCAATAAAGCAACACCGAAATGCCCCAGCTGGGAGATTGTCCCGTGCTGGGAATTCAGCCGTCCAAGCCAGGAGGAGTGTCCTGCCCCAGCTCACTGAGCGTGGGGAGAAGCACTGAGCCGACACAAAACCCACTGGCCTCACAAAACAGCAGGAGTGGGACCCTGATAGTCTTTCATTAGGCAACAGTGAGAGTGATTGCGTTTAATTTGTCAGGCATTCTAACAGTGACCAAACTCTATACCAACAGTTCAGGGTATGTAATTCTGAGTTTTCACAATAAAACCCCAGAATACCCATTCATCCTTAGCAGACTTGCCTTTGTATCAATTTGGGACTAGATTCTTGGCATGCCAGGGAATTATGCATCATAATGACTTAATCAAGGGGTTTTACAGTGTGTTCTAGAGCTGAGAAACCTTTTTAAACCCAAATGCAGATGGAAGCTTGGACCCAGCAGCGAGTGCTTTGCTCATGAAGTCAGAGGAGCTCTGCACAGACTGACCCCCTGTGCCTCTGCAAAGCTCTATTGATTTTGGTAACTTCATCTGTGCAGGGATGTGAATCTATTTACAGGGAGATAAATGAAGCCTAAAGTTATCGATTTTCAAGAGCAAAGAACTTTAGTTAAAGATCTCTTGTGGTTTTTTAATTATTCCTGATTTTGAAACATGACATCACAGCAGAGTAATGATATTAAGAAGTGACAATAAATAAAACAGCCAGTTTCACGTGATTTAATGCAGTAAGAGCAGAGAGAATGGGATTGACTGAATTAGACAAGGTTTTTATTTGCTCTTTGTGCTGGATGACTGTTAATCACTCAATGAGAAATGCATTTCCAATGGTCAGTGCTCAAGCAACGTAAATAATAGCAACATCCTTGTTTCTCCTTTGCCCTCAATCTCCTTTTGGCTACTGCAGTTCCAGAGGGAGTTCATTTTTTTGGCTGCCTACAGGGGATTGAGAGTTGTGGTCTCACTTGAGCACAACTCAATTGGTATCTGGATGTATCGGCAGGGACCAGTGTTTGCTACAAAAGGTGGCAAACCAAAAAACATGGAGTCATTATAGCCAGTGTAAAACTTGGTGTTCCTTCAGCCTAGCAGACCCCTTCAGGTCACGGAATTTTGGTTTCCTCTACTATTGGATGGGCTTCTCCCAAAGATTTGCTGATTCTGCAAACACAACTTTAGCTTTCTTGTTATACCTACCTGTCCTTGAGAAAACTCTCTCTCTGTGACTCAGTTCCCCACTTCTAAACCAGAGGAAATTTGAGAATTACATTCAGGTCTGCGTCTGTTGCCTGTATTTAGCAGCCTTCCCAAGGAGGTGTGTTAGGGAAAGAGAGTTCTGTATGTGGTGCCTCAGCTGGGCTGGACCTTGCTGAGGTGTTTTAGCCCAGGCTATTGATGGTGACAATTCTGTAGCCACAAGCTAAATGGAGCTGAAGCAGGTAGGAGCTGACTCAAAGGCTCATCACTCCAGTCATTTGCCATCTGTGTGTGAGTCAGAGCCCTAATATTTGTTTTCCATCCTTTGTTGGAAGTCAGTGGAGCTGTTTATTTATGCAGCAGTTAGCACGCTGGGACCTTATTCTTGGCCAGGTCTAGGTGATAGTTTTAATACATAGTCTAATGTAGAGGCTGCTTTTGGCTTTTATATGTATGTCTGTGCATACCTCTCGAATCCCATTTTTCTCCAACATGACACTGTAGATAGCAGCAAGATCTGCCTTAGAGATGCCAGAGATGTAGAACTCGTAATTCTTTGAACATGTGTTTTGGTTAAGTCACCAAAGATTGAGTGCTTGTGAGGCAATCTGAAAGGCAGTTTTATCAAGTTCATCTTTTTAAATCACTTTTCTTTCACAATATGGCTTGCTAGCTGTAAAATTATTCTATTAAACTGTGTTACCACACTCTGAGGCAATTTGTTTTCTTGTGCATCGATCTTTGATCCAAGGTGCTTGCTCCTGAAAACATTCTTCCTTTTTAACCACTTAGATAGGACTTAATTTTGTATAAATTGGAAATTGGTGTAGAACAGCATTTCTTTTTTATTTTGTCCTTTGTTATTTGCTAATCACTTTTTCTGGATAGTCAATTTGTGGTCAGATTTCTATTCAGTCATGGTCAGATTCTTTAGAGTTTA